GTGAGGAGTTCGATCTTCTCTCGCTACCTCCCCGAGACACCAAACGCGATCATCTCATCAACGTCAAGATTTACATACAGTCATATCTCTTCATTGGAGTGATGCAGACTGTCTGCGCGCATTCCATGTTCTTCCTTTACATGTGGCGTCATGCAAAGATACCTGCTTCCGCCCTCTTCTTTGCCTACGAAAAGTATACAGACGGTTTCTATGGGTACAGCATGGACGAACTCAACTACTTCAATACTGTCGGACAATGCGTCTACTTTGTCACTCTTGTCATTTTACAATGGGGCAATATTCTATCTATCCGCAACAAGCGCCTCAGCATCCTACAGGCCGACCCGTTCCGCAAAGAACGCCGCAATCCTTGGCTCGCTGCAGGTATTCTTATCAGCTTGGGCATTGCTATCTTTGTAACGGAGGTTGAAGGCATACAGAACCTATTTGGTACTGCTTCAGTACCAATAGAGTTCTGGCTCATTCCACTACCATTGGCGCTCGGTATTATAGTTATGGATGAGATGAGGAAGTTGGCTGTTAGGATGTGGCCAAATGGGCCCATTGCACGCATCGCGTGGTAGTTTCAGATGACCTGGTATGCCAGATAATCTTCTCGCATGTTTCAGTATGTCTGCATATAATTAATAATCAGAGGACGATGATAAAATCCACACAATAATACTTCCGTTTCGTAATTAATTGGGATTTGAAATTTACTTTACTTCGTGTTGAGGCCTACCTTACTGGTAGCATGAAACGTTGATGTTAAATTCAGTGACGAAAATACACATCTGCCCCAAAAATGAACACCGCATATGCTTATCATCTCATGAGATTCAACCCCACAAACTATAGATAGAAGTGGCAAGTCGCACCGTTGATGCAAATTAAACTGACATGAAACCAAAGACTACGCATTCCTGGAATTGAAACCCCTTCCCATGCAAGCAGAATAAACTCCGCATACTCTAATATCTGCGACGGCCGTTGGGCGATTTTTTAATTGTATTGACCTGACATCCCTATTGTCATATTAGTATTCTTTTTGCGTGGCAAAATCCTACACAGATATCAACTTACGCCTTGGCCATTGCAATTCCCAGCAAACGTTCAACCACCAGAGTTACACTGGCATGATGCGCCGGAGCCACGAGTGCATGGACCGCCAGAGATGATATCGGCTCCGTGGCATGTGAGCTGCGTCTGGGCTGTCGCGAAGCCAGAAAACAAGAGCATGCTGGTAGCGACAATAGAGACGAAGTGGAGTTGCATTTTGAAGATTTTGTCAGATTGAGAGTATCAATAATTATGGAAGACCCAGCTTCGCCCAGTTTGGCTATGAAAGCAGAGTGAGGTAAGGTCGTGGCGTCTTCATCACTAACTCGTGACATGATAAGAGTTAGATGTACCCACGATGCTTTCGATCCAGGGAGTGTCAGCTTCATCAGATCGGTTTTGTTGAGATCCCACCGACCAATTACTAATCTACACCATGACAGCCTCTGTATCTACCCGAATTGATTGATACGCTCGGCCTAGACTGATCAGTGATAAGCCTATAGAGTGTAGCTATGGTGAAGCAGAATAACAGGGAAACAAATATGCAGAGGTATCAAGTACGATTAATCAGGTGTTTTCCTTGATATTGACGTAAAGACATAGCACCAGCGCAAGTATCGAGGTGGGAGAAACATGTCCAAGACATGGATCAACTTCTAGACCCAGAGGTGACGGTCTATAATATGGGATGAGGTTGTACGCAGGTAAGACCTAGTTCTAACTACGACGGAACATGCAGGGGTGGTTCCTGTCAAAGCAATAAATCTTAGATGTGTCAGTTGCTTATACCAAACGCATCTGCCCGCCATAGTACCGTCCAGTGTTCATTCTCACCCTCTCCTATGAAAATCATTCTCCCCTTCTTTTCGGTTTTCTATCAATGATCTAAACGCCATCAAAGATGTCTTTTAGGTGGCCTGAAACTGTTTTATGAACGCTTATGAAGGAGATAGGCGAAGTCAACCTGCTCGTATTAGATTAGAAGAGCATATCTATATTTACCAAGTGACTAATAGGAATTTGGATTAAAAGGTTCGAGCTAGCTACAAAATAGGTCTACTACACCTGATTGGGACCCGTGCATGATCTATGAGTATACTCAGCTCAGAAAGGAGCGAAATGCCCCTTCCCTTTATCCACGACCTCGTTATTGCAAGTAACAAGAAGAATTATCTCCTCGACAGGGATAAGAGCACTAAAGGCCAGCCAGCATCCACGTTAGAAGGTGATGATCTTTCAGGACCGAAGATTACGTAATTGGCATCCCGCCAAGAAGCATTACCTCTATAGTAACAATGATGGAGGGAATAGCAGAACTGAAAACAACAGGGGTACAAAGATATATATATTATTATACCTGTCATAGTCAGTCTTTTTCAATTGAAGCCTCATAGCATTATCTTGCGGTATACCTCGTAACTATCTCACGCTGACCTAGGCCGAGGGAGGGAAGTGTATCCTTGATCACGTATAACATGGAGCTTAGCGACCTCGACAGTTAAAAAGGATACACGACAAACAGCAGATCACACAAGTATCTCAAATCTTAAATTGATATAGTCGCATGTATTGTGTTTTACATTCTGCTGTCTCATGTCGGTGAGAACCGGATGCGAGAACTATACAGAGACTATTGAAGCCAGTCAACAGCACTCAACTCACCACTGCAAAATGCCTTGCACCGACATCTCGAACCAATCACGCGAACAACAACACACTAAATTAGCGATAGTCATTACAAGGTGTCGAGAAGATGCTATACTTGGCAAATGACATAACAGTATTGTGGGCGAGTATGTCACGATGCTGCAAGCTCATTCGCTGAACTAGGTAAAAACACATCGGCGCCATGGCCAATCATGAGGGCTCATTCATTTCGCATAGCAAGAAACAACAAAGTCAAAAAACTCAAAACGCGAAACAAATAGCGAAATCAAAGAGAGAGAAAAGATTGATAGTCGTAGTGATTCCACGGGGTGCGATAAAAATAGCAGTATGACCCTATTTCTTCTTTCCTCTGGCGCAAAAGACAAAAAAGAGGACAAGAAAGAGAAACACCATAAAAAGAACACGAACACTCAAACTCTCTGTACACAAAAAAGATCAACAAAAGCCTCACTTTACAACACTCTATCCCAATACGATAACCTTTTTCCCGCAAGGATCTTCCCCTCTCCACACTTGCCCTCACCCCCCCATGTTACGCCTAGCAACAAGCCTCCTCCCCCCCGCATACCGAGAAACCTCGCGCGGGTCAGAGCGGACGAACACGCACATGCACACACATGAAAAACAAGACTACCCTATCCCATTCGATCGGAAACAAACACGTTGAAACATGGACGAATTTTTTTACAAAGTGGCGAGCAAGTTTAACGCCCCTCCCCCCCCCCCACCTGGTGACCTGGGTGTGTGATATCCCAAAGCGGTAAGCCGTTGATGGGCGGCCCTCATTACTCAGTGGGGCATACCGTCCGTTTTTACACTAGTTGCCTTTGCGGGCCAAGTTTGTAAGTAAGGAAGAGGAAGCGCCTCGCTTCCGCCCTGGCCATTCCGCATGCCCAAAGTGCAAGCATTAAGAGAGATAGAGAAAAAAAAACGCATGAGGCTGCACACGCCGCAAGCATGCATGCAATACACAGAAAAGGGTTGAGGGGGGTTTGTTATGTCATGTCATGCCATGGGCGGAATGCCAATGCCTGCCAATGTTCATGCCAATGCCCCCAATAAGGGAGGAGGTGAGGGGGGAAGAATGGGAAGCGAGGGAGAGAGAGAGGATAGAGAGCCAACCACACACACACACATACACACACACACATACACACACACACATACACACACACACACACACACACACACAAGACGCGGCGAGTAATGAAAATTTCTGATGTCTTGGAGCATGTAATGCGGAGAAAAATGATAATGCATGTAGGGGTTTTATCTTGGTATGCCGATTCTTGATAATGCCGAGAACGCCCGGGCCGTACCTGATGTGGCCATTTTTGGGCCTTGCAGCTTTTGTGGCAAAGGCCAGAAATATGTACGGGAGGGCGGAAAGAACGGAGAAAGCACATTCCGTCCCTCTCTTGCTCTCTCTCTCTGGCTCGCGATTCGTCCCGCATCTGTTTTTTTTTAACGAGATTCATGCACTAACAGAGGTAACATGACAGAGGGTTAGCGGGTACGGGCAATTTCTTGTTGAGGGTGCTTTAGTTCAAAAAAGACCCTAGTTGCCCATCGGCTTCTGAACAAGATGCCCTGGTAAGATGTGAGCAAGTAGTAGTAGAACGGGCTTTGCTATCAGGACACAAGGGCACAAAGGGGAATAGCGCCGTGTCCGAGTTTTTTTTTTTCCCTTCCATCTCGTGCCGACGACTGGGTCTTGTTACCCCACGCACGTGTGGGACTGAGCAGTGGAGAAAGAAGGGCCGAGCGTGGCTTGAGCTGGAAAAGACGTAATGGCCAGTCGGTTAACCCCAAGGGCGATGATGCAACGATTCGGTGAGCAAAAAGAGCGGGCGGGCGGACAGCATCATCATCCATTACGTCGTTTGTTGTCACTGTTGCTGTTCAGTTTTTACCGCCTCGAAAAACAAACGAAGACGCAAAGGGAGTGGTGACGGACTGCTTGAGCAATCGCGGTGAGAGTAGAGCATAACGCAATGCGACGCGTGTGTGGCATGGGGGTTACAAAGCGCGTGTTTGACGGTCATTGGGGGTTAGTGGTGTGTGCAGGCAGTGTAAAAGATGGGCGACCAATCAGCGCGTGCGAGTGAGGCTCGGTGCCCGCACCCGTACCAACGCCCGTGGGTGATAGCTCCCGAGACCCCAAGGTCCCTGATCGCACGCCTCCTGCCGCTGCTGCAAAACAAATTTAACTTTCGGAACAAAAAACAACACGGGCGATCATTAGACATGCCATTAATAACCCTTGATATGCACAAGTAGATTTGTTCATTCTCGACTATTGCGTATGCATGCGCCTGTAGTTCCAAAGTGCATTTTTTGGGGGAGAAGCGGCCAATTACCGCACAAAAAAAAACCATACCATCTCATGATGGTAAGAAAAAGCAATGTCGAAAGTTCCGTCGACATGACGAAATGCCGAAAATCATAGTCAATGGATTCTATAGGACAAGTCCCACCCAATGCATGTAGTAGACCAAAAGAAATAATGCCAAATCCCAGCACCAAGACATGGAACCAGTCCGAGGGTTCTTACATGGAAATAACGCCAGGGAAATGCAATGGCAAGAATAGTTCAGACGCATCAAATATTGACAGTGAAGAAAAGGTAAAGGTGGATGCAGGCATTAGTCGGGTCTGGCGAGAATGGCAGCCACGGCGTCACACGGGGCGCAGGGCTGGATTTTGCGTTTCGGCTCCTCAGGAGCAGGAGCAGGAGGCGGGCATACGCACTCGTCCTCGTCGGAGCTGGAGGCTGAGGCCCGGCGCGCTTGGGAGAGCCCCGAGGCGTCTTTTGGCACAAAGAAGGACCCGCTGCGTTCGTATTGTGGCGTGCTCGATCCCTCGGCAGAGAGGAATACTGATGCACGTCTGGAAAAGTGGCCGCTCGATAGCTCGTCGTCGCATGAAGGGTAGGCGGTGCCCCAAAAGGGCAGCTTTGGCGGAGTTCCTTGGCCGTTGTATGGCACGTAGATGGATCCACCGCGCGGTCTCAGGAATGGGCTGGGGTCGTCAAAGTCTTCAAATGGACTCTCTGCTGCGCTCTTGTCCGATTCTTCTTTGGTGGCCTCGAGGTGTGATCTCTGTAGCGCCATTTCGAGCTCTTCGGCCGAAAATGGCTGCGAAGCCTGGCGGGTGCGATCTGATCCAGTAGCAGGCCTCGATGATTGGCGGCCATCGCTAGTTCGAATGGCGCCTTGTGACTGCTTGCGGCGAGCATCGCGAGGATCCTCGGTAGGATTGCGAGAGAGGCCGACTAGGCCAGGTTAGCATGCCATCTGCCATGTCGACGAGGCGTTGCACATACCATTCAGGACGTCACCTTCGTCGTCGGATGCCTCTTTGATGTTGGCGGGCCTGTCGTCGCCAGCAATGCTGGCACCAATGCCGCTATCTACCCACTCAGACTCGGGGTCGTAGTCTGAGGCACAGCTACCCCTTCTGCTGCGGTGCATGCTGCGGCTGCGGCTGCGTCGCCTAAAGCTGCTCCGACGGCTGGGAAGCCTGCTTCCCATGGGTGAGTAGAGCGAGGCGTTGCTGTGTCGGCGCCATGCAGTCGAAAAGCTAAAGGCCTCGAGCTTCTTCTTGTGCTCTGGGTCGACGGCACGGCGGTACTTGAGCGGAGGCATCTTCTCTCCAGGCTTGTAGAAGTCGGACTCTGGCTCTTCTGGCTTTGCGATCCTGTGGGAGCCAGCCGTGAGGACACGCTTTAACCTTGTGCGTAGGTGGCCGGGCATTGTGGGCGGATGGGGTGATTAGATTACTGTGTGGTGGTGTGGGAGGGTGTGGAGGGAGGGGATGTGCGCCGAAGAAGAAGGCCGTCGGAAGGGCGAAGCGATATGATGTCGGGCGTAGTGAGGCTGATTCGGTGTGGGGGGCGTGACACAGACGCTGAGGGGGCCCTAGGCCTGATTGGAGGGCGGACCACAGATGGAGAGACTGGGACGGACACTGGACTGGGACTGGGACGAGAGCCTCGTCAGGCGGTTGCAGTTGCAGGCTGGGGAAGCGGAGGGGGTTATAGCTGTAGCAGAGCAGATGGCACCCAAGCCCGTGTATGACGGGCAGCGGGTGGGCGGCAGGGCGAAGCTAGAAGAAAACGCGGAGGGGCGCCGCGCTTGGCCGGCTGCACTCTAACGTATGAATGGATGCAGCGCAGGTGGTGTATGGATGAGCTACTGACGCGACGGTGCCGGGGGGGAGGTTAGTGACCAGGGCCGGCAGCACCTCTGGGCCAGCCTGGGAGAAGCGAAGGAGAAGGGGGGGGTTGCGTGGGAGGGCGGCCAGGGTGAGGGTGCAAGCGAGGGGCTGGCGGTAGAAGTTTTCTAGAAAGGCAGGCAGGCGCGAAATGCGCAGGCGGTCGGAAGCCGTCGGCCGACAGCATTTCCACTCTTCCATCGTTCGACTGTGGGCCAGACTGGCTGCGGCGTGAGCGCTAGGCCGCTGGGGGGGTGAACTGCCGTTGGCCATGCAGCCATGCCTTTGCCACTGTTGCCCGTAATTCGCGCATTGCTTTTGCCCAAGCCCTCTCCAAACCTACCACCCTCCGAGCCGCCGGCCTCGTGTCGAGTCGATGCTCCGTCCTGCTGCTGTTGCTGTTGCTGTTGCTGCGCCCGTCGTCCGCCTGCAGCCGCTGTCAAGATCGACTTTGCGCGCCCGCGTTGGCTGAAGATCGCCCATCTGCTGCATGTGTGGTGCGGAGACGAATATCCAGAGTACCTCCTCTATCTGCAAATTTAACACAGTACGGCCGAGAGTGCATTGTACACATACGCCCCTTGGTGGTGGCCGTAACAGCCAAATGTAACCTCTACGAGACATCAGTGCCACCCTGACACGGCTACACACAATGTTTCCACGGTTGGTCGTTCACGTCGCGCCGGACAAGGCCGTGCTGGGATGGACAGTCGACTGAGCTGGACCGCACTCGACCTGCACCGGACGGACGGCTCACTAACATGACGCCGCCCCGCATCCCTCAAATCCCATGCTCTCCTTTTTTACCCCATGGACGGTAACACAGACACACGCACGCCCACACCCAGTAATCGGGTGCAGCCCAGCGCTGAACAGTAGCGGCAGTCACCCTTGGGGCGCTGCATCGCCCAGCCGGCGCAACAATCGCTGCAAATGGCAAGCACAAGTAGGCGCCCTGGCCTACATACCCATCGCTGCATCACCACAGCCGTCGGAGCCGCCGTCGTGATTGGCAGGCGCGCCTCTAGCCGCTGCACCTACCCACCTACCCCGGCAATGACCTCATAGGCGTCGGCCTGCTCGACACCAAACACCAAACATCGTCATGACTTGACCTCACCAGCTGTGCCCTGTTTCTCCCACCGTCGACTCATGACAATTAATACCACTATTCTGGTAATTTGCTTTCCTCGCTTGTGCTGACCCTTGAATCCCTCCGAGCATTGAAGCCCACCATCCTTCACACCCTGGCCCAACACACGGCCCACCACTGTCGACATGGACAAGATCAAGAACGTCCTGTGCGTAGACAAAGCAGCCGCCGCCGCCGTCATCTCCCATAGCTAACCCGTCGTCAGTCACGGACACAAAAAGGACCAGGGTCAGGACGTCACTCATGACCCTCATCAGCCTGCATCCACCAACGAGACGTCTGTTTTCTCATCACTCCACCGGCGCAGTGTCACTAACACAAGACACAGTCAGCAATCCCCCACCCACAATGAAACTTCCAGCAGCCGCCAAGGCAAACATGCCCCTCCTGGTCAGCCGCTCTACAACATCAAAACTACCTCTGGTGCTCCCTATACCGAGTTAGCCAAGCCAGGTACTTTGGAACGGCTCCAAGGTCACAAACTTCATGGGAAACCAGAGCAAATCGGCGCAAATGGCCCACTCGACACTGATAAGGCACAATCCCCAGTCAACAACGGCACGTCTCCTGCAGGAACTTTTCGTCCCGATGCTCACCCACATGGTCACACTCAAGAGGCTAGTATTGCCAGCATCAAGAGCGGAGTCATTGGTTTTGGTCCGACAGAATCCCAAGGACATGCAGCCATGTCAATGCACAATCCCACTAAAAGCAACATTGCCGGGGACCAAGTAGTCGGAGGTGGAAGTCCTGGCGCTGCCCGAGTGACTCAAGGCAAAAGTGTACAGCCAAGTGCAGGGGCTGAAACACATCCCCGTACGTAGATTCTTCCTTGATTCTCAATATACCAGTTTCAACCACGACGTTCTGACTAGGGGTTTTAGAGACGAGTGTAGTTGATAACCCGCCAGCTAGCACTGCTGTTCCCAGCTACGCGGACGAACAGCAACCCTTCGAGAATACTCTGCGTCAGGAGAGTTACATTACTGACACTAATCGATCATTTCCGCTTGCTGGCGGTGTGACATCTAACCCACAGGAAAGCTCAAGCCATGGAAGTCATGGACGTGAGGGACTTGCTGGAGCGGCAGCTACCGCAACTGTTCTCGGAGCCTCCCACGCCATCTCCAAGTCCGAAGAAAACAATGTCAAACATCAAGGCGCTGAACCTCGTCAAGCTACATACGGAGATGGTCCGTCGATTACTGCATCGTCTACGACTGTCCCACCAGCCACTGTACGTACACCACTTAGATATTTGTTCGATCTGGCTAGACAAAAATCTAACAATCACGTAGACTCAAATGGCCTCGGATGTTTCGAGCCAGCCAGAATCTAGCCACCATCCTACAGGAATTACCGCAGCTACTGCTGTCGCTTCTGGTTCTTCTTTGCTTACATCATCCACTCAAGAGAAGAGACTGGAGACTGACAACAACGGAACTATTCTTCCCACGACTGAACCTATTGGCGAGTGTGAACGCCCAATCATCCCACGGCTTGAGTCGCGACATAGACATATTCCTGGCGAATATATTGCTACGCCAAGTGACGAGTCTAGCCTGTCTCTGGATTATGATCCTGTAATAGAATCAACATCCAGTCACGCAGATGCGAGTGAACCAGTTCAAGCTCCCTCTGTGGTCACCGTCTCAAATTCGGAGGAGCACCCTGTGGATCCTATTTCTACCACTGGAACCCACGAGCTGAGGCACACCGGAACACTTGAAGAGCCAAGACCAAAGTCTGCTGGTGACAACCATCATACCCGTGATGCTGCAATCGCTGGTGGTCTTCTTGCTGGAACCGCGGGCCTAGGAGCTCATGCAGCATCTAAAGATCACAAAGCTCGGGATACCGAAAGCAGCTCACTACTGTATGAAGACTCCCAACCGTACAGTGGCAAGGGACTCGACCCACGTGTTTTGGGAGACAAACTCAAGATGGAGGAGCAACGTTTTAATCCCCAAGCCAAGGCCCACTATGACAGTGATCCAGCCATATCTGGCCCTCCAGTATCACACAATCTTTCTCGCGACACTACTCTAGCTGGTGTCGGTGCTACTCGTCATGGGGCTCAGGATGCAGTGGATGTGTATGGTAGCCATAAGATGACGCAGCTTGATGCATCCATGCCTGAGCAGCGGTACGATCCTACTGCTTCCAGTGCTCGAGCCTCCAACTCCATTGCGCCTAGGAGCCAATATGACTACAACAACCCTACCATATTGAGCTATGTCAACCGAACAGACCCAAATGCCCATGTCAACAGGAATGCCACCTTCACTGGTGCTGGCTTGGCTGGCGTCGCCTTGGGTGCTGGAGCTTACACTCGCGAGCCGCATGCTCATGATGCTCAAGACTTGTCACTCCGCCAAAACGAAGAGTATGCTTCACATACGCAGGGAGGACCAGTTTCTCAGCCTATTTATCCCACCCAGGATACTTCACAGACTTCCTGGCCTCTGCGTGACAGCCCTACTTATGCATCGGATCCCACTCAGGGCACCATTGCGCCGTACAACACACACGTCCAAGACCCTGATATCCAATCCTATGGTGCTGTTCAGGATCCAGTCCACGAAGGACACGACACTCGCAATGCTGCCCTTCTAGGTGGTGCTGTGGGAGCAGCAGGACTCGGCAGCGCAGCATACGCCCATGATCGTCATCAGGATCAAGACCGTCGTGAATCCAATGATTATCTCAAGAAGACATCTCTCGACCACGAGAAGGGACAACATCATCGTGACAGGGACTTTGACCAGGAAAATGAGACGGAAGAAAAGAAAAAGCACAGATTGTTGGGCTTCTTGCACCGTGATAAATCCAGGAAAGAGAAATCGTCGGCAAGCCCAGAGTCTTCGCCGCGCCAATCAAAAGACTACAGTCCAAGGCACTCCAAAGAGGATAGCGAGGACCCAGATTCACCCCGCTGGAAAGGCAGACACCTTTTGCACAAGGATCCACCAAAAGGTCATCCTGCACGCGAGGTTCTCGAAAAATCTCACCATAGCAACCCATATGCTGTAGGAAAGAGACAGCATGTAGGTACTGATGGGCCAATTGGTGATCCCTACTCGATAAGCGGCGACCGGTGAGTTTATGTTGTATCCCCAGGAGCGTTTCCAGGTCAAACCTAACTTCAGCCACAGCGAAACGCGTCACGGTGTATACGGTGCCCACCCCACCAGTGATCTTACTCACAACTCTACCGTACTTGAGCCGCACACAGGCTTGCCCATGAATGCTCAACAATTTGGCACTGGAGCTGGAGGCGTTGACGGTAATCGTGCCATTCATGGTCAGCATGAACATCCTGGAACCACGACAGGCCAGAGTGTCACGAACTGGGAGGCTGTCCGAAAGGCCAATACGCCTTATTAAGTATGGTTAAGACAAGAGTGCGACCATGCTGTGCATGAAAGAAGTAATGTATATTTGACGCAGCACGTGATTAAAGAGTCAGGTAGTTACTTGATACGACTGTTACGACTAGCGGATATTTTTTTGAATCTCACGCATTTGAATTTCCAGCAATCATGCTGTAAAAACTTCCCGTGTCTCATTTGCAAGATAACAGTTGAGGTGTATCGTTGCATCCATGTTGTATTTTACGTTTGCCAGAGTTTATTGCGGATGAATATGAGTCGCCGAAATGAGCTCAACTGCAGAACTGTGCTATGGAAGCTGACCGGGTTAGTTTCACCCGAGGCTAATCCAGTAAAAAGGCTTGAATCTGCGGATCAAACGCTTGGAAGTGCTTCGCAGTTGGCTAAGCTTCTTAGTAGGATTTGCGCAAATGCTTGCATATTGTTGACAGGAACGTAAAGAGTAAATACTATAGAATAAATAACCTTTTGTCTACAAAAGTACTCTAAGTATTGAGATGCAATCATAAACAACCACGATCTTCCCATCAGACACGCTCAGATCACACCCGGATAAAAGCCGCGGCAGAGGCTTGAACAACTCCCCCGATTATGACGTTTCTGGACCTGGGGATGATTTCACAGAGGAATTGTTCGCATGCAAATCACCCAACCTGCGGAGAAGAAGCGGGGCGACTCATAGGGATGGATGGTCAGGCACGAAGTGCAGCCATGCAAGCGAATACGACGCAAGCCATCTTTTCGAGAAAAAAAAATGAACACTTGAGACGGAGAATTGCTTGCAGGGGATACCGATGCAAGTAAGATTAGCTTCGGGTGAAGTCACCACCCGGGAAGTGTAAAAAAAACAACAAAAAGATGAAGTCGTGCTGCTGGACAATGTTGACGTGTTTGCGCTGCAATTCAATTCTTCACTACTAGCCGTCATGAAGCTTGCTGCCCCCCTCCCCCCCCCC